TATATATATATATATATATATATATATATATGTATGTATGCACGTATATATGTATATGTGTATGCATATTTTAACGAGTTTGCAGTTTAGGCCATAATACCCTGTGTATGTCCCACCATGTGCTCACCTACCTGCTAGCTAATTAAAAAATATATATATAATTGGGAAACTAGGCAGATAGAACTAATAGATAAATGGACATATATACACTACCAAACGTAAAACAGATAGCTAGTGGGAAGCAGCCGCATTGCACAGGGAGATCAGCTAGGTGGTTTGTGACCACCTAGAGCAGTGGGATAGGGAGGGTGGGAGGGAGGGAGACGCAAGAGGGAAGAGATATGGGAATATATGTATATGTGTAACTGATTCACTTTGTTATAAAGCAGAAACTAACACACCATTGTAAAGCAATTATACTCCAATAAAGATGTTAAAAATAATAATAATAATAAAAAAAATTCAGTTTTCTTTTTCTTTTTTTAACACTAAAAACAGAATTTTAATTAATTTTAAACCAAAGTCCAAATTGTTCCATTTTAGTCTCTGCTGATAATTAACTTTTTCCGTGCTTCCCACTGCCATGATAACCCATCAACAAACAAGTGCGGGGACCTTCAAGATGGTGGAGGAGTAAGACGTGGAGATCACCTTCCTCCCCACAAATACATCAAAAATACATCTACATGTGGAACAATGACTACAGAACACCTACTGAACGCTGGCAGAAGACCTCAGACCTCCCAAAAGGCAAGAAATCCCCACGTACCTGGGTAGGGCAAAAGAAAAAAGAAAAAACAGAGACAAAAGAATAGGGACAGGACCTGCACCTCTGGGAGGCAGATGTGAAGGAGGAAAAGTTTCCACACACTAGGAAGCCCCTTCACTGTCGGGGACAGGGGGTGACCAGGGGGAAAGCTTCAGAGACACGGAGGAGAGCGCAGCAACAGGGGTACAGAGGGCAAAGCGGAGAGATTCCCGCACAGAGGATCGGTGCCAACCAGCACTCACCAGCCTCAGAGGCTTGTCTGCTCACCCACCGAGGCGGGTGGGGGCTGCAAGATAAGGCTCAGGCTTTGGAGGTCAGATGCCAGGGAGAAGACTGGGGTTGGCTGTGTGAAGTCAGCCTGAAGGGGGCTAGTGCCCCACAGCTAGCCGGGAGGGAGTCTGGGAAAGAGCCTGAACCTGCCTAAGAGGCAAGAGACCATTGTTTCGGGGTGCGCAAGGAGAGGGGATTCCTGCTCCGTGTGCCCAGAGACAGCAGAGCACTGCCTAAGCGAGCTACAGAGATAGGCATGAGCCACGACTGTCAGCTTGGACCCCAGAGATGGGCATGTACTGCTAACGCTGCCGCTGCTGCCACCAAGAATCCTACGTGCAAGCGCAGGTCACTACCCACACCCTCCCTGGGAGGCTGTGTAGCATGCCACTGCCAGGGTCCCATGATCCAGGGAAAACTTGCCTGGGAGAACACACAGCACACCTCAGGCTGTTGCAATGTCACACTGGCCTCTCCCGCCACAGGCTTGTCCCGCATTCCAATTATGACTACTGTACCCCTCCCTCTCCCTGGCCTGAGTGAGCAAGAAAGCCCTAATCAGCTGCTGCTTTAACCCCCTCCTGTCTGGGCGGGGAACAGATGCTTGAGAGGGGTCTACACACAGAGGTGGGGCCAAAACCAAAGCTGAACCCCAGGAGCTGTACAAACAAAGAAGGGAAAGGGAAATTTCTCTGTGCAGCCTCAGAAGCAGTGGATTAAATCCCCACAATCAACATGATAAACCCTGCATGTTTGGAATACAGGAATAGACAATGAATGTTCCCAAAATTGAGGCAGTGGACTTCGGAGCAACTGTAGACATGGGGTTTGCTTTCTGCGTCTGATTTGTTTTTGGGTTTAGGTTTATCTTAGTTTTTAGTGCTTGTTATCATTGGTGGATTTGTTTATTAGTTTGGTTACTCTCTTCCTTTTTGTTTTATTTTTATTTTTTAAAAATTTTTTTCCTTTTTTCTCTTCTTGTGAGTGTGTGTATATATGTTACTTTTTGTGATTATTGTCGGTTTAGGTTTGCTTTTACCATTTGTCCAAGGGTTCTGTCTGTTCGTTTTTGTTGTTGTTTGTTTTCTTTTTATCAGTGTGTGTGTGTGTTTCTTTTTGTGATTTTGTCTGTATAGTTTTGCTTTTACCATTTGATTTGGGGTTATATCTGTTCATTTTTTTCTGTTGTTTTTTTTCCTTCCTTTTCTTCTGAGCCATGTGGCTGGCAGGGTCTTGGTGCTCTGGCCAGGTGTTAGGCCTGAGCCTCCGAGGTGGGAGAGCCAAGTCCAGGACACTGGACCACCAGAGACCTCCAGGCTCCACATAATAACAATCAGTAAGAGCTCTCTCAGAGATCTCCATCTCAACACTAAGACCCAGCTCCATCCAACAGCCAGCAAGCTCCAGTGCTGGGTGCCCCATGCCAAACAACTAGCAAGACAGGAACACAACCCCACTCATTAGCAGAGAGGCTGCCTAAAGTCATAATAAGTTCACAGACACCCCAAAAAGCACCACTAGACACAGCCCTGCCCACCAGAAGGACAAGATCCAGCCTCACCCAGCAGAACACAAGCACCAGTCCCCTCCACCAGGAAGCCTACACAGCCACTGAACCAACCTCACCCACTGGGGGCACACACCAAAAATAACAGGAACTACGAACCTGCAGCCTGTGAAAAGGAGACCACAAACACCATAAGTTAAACAAAATGAGAAGACAGAGAAATATGCAGAAGATGAAGGAGCAAGGTAAAACCCCACCAGACCAAAGAAATGAAGAGGAAATAGGCAGTCTACCTGATAAAGAATTCAGAGTAATGACAGTAAAGATGATCCAAAATCTCAGAAATAGAATGGAGAAAATAGAAGCAATGTTCAATAAGGACCTAGAAGAACTAAAGAGCAAACAAACAATGATGAACAACACAATAAATGAAATTAAAAATACTCTAGAAGGAATCAATAATAGAATACCTGAGGCAGAAGAACGGATAAGTGACCTGGAAGATAGAATAGTGGAAATAACTGCCGCAGAGCAGAATAAAGAAAAAAGAATGAAAAGAACTCAGGAAAGTCTCAGAGAACTCTGGGACAACATTAAACACACCAACATTTGAATTATAGAGGTGCCAGAAGAAGAGAAAAAGAAAGGGTCTGAGAAAATATCTGAAGAGATTATAGTTGAAAACTTCCATAACATGGGAAAGGAAATAGTCAATCAAGTCCAGGAAGCACAGAGTCCCATACAGGATAAATCAAAGGAGAAACATGCCAAGACACATATTAATCAAACTACCAAAAATTAAATACAAAGAAAAAATATTAAAAGCAGCAAGGGAAAAGCAACAAAAAACATACAAGGGAATCCCCATAAGGTTAACAGCTGATCTTTCAGCAGAAACTCTGCAAGTCAGAAGGGAAAAACAAGACATATTTAAAGTGATGATAAGGAAAAACCTACAACCAAGATTACTCTACCCAGCAAGGATCTCATTCAGATTTGACGAAGAAATTAAAAACTTTGCAGAAAAGCAAAAGTTAAGAGAATTCAGCACAACCAAACCAGCTTTACAACAAATGCTAAAGGAATTTCTCTAGGCAGG